CATTGAAAGTGGTGAAGCCTTTGAAAACCTGTAATGGTTTTACCATTTGCTGTAGGGGAGTTTGCACTCTGGTACAGAATACTAATTATAGGTAGGTACCAATTGTTCCTTCATCATCAAGAGATTGACAGTTTCAGAAAATGCAACATGTTATGTTGCATTGTCACATCCCTCTCAAATCAATCTCACCTGGTCATTAGGAGAGCACCTTACAGCTATTGAAGACGAGCATTCAATAATTCTTTCAGGTAAGAGAAAAAGAAATCACGCCTAGGTAAAGGCAGGTAAAGGCTTCATAAAATATTATCTAAAATAACTCTTAGATGTATTTCTGGATTTTCGGCAAGTCCAATTACATAATATAAAACTGGCGCTTTATGTTCTAACTGGTGTGTGAGTGACCGCTAACAGAAAATGCTGATCGACGAAGCCAATGGAATTAGATTATAAGTGAGCATGAACCTTACTTACGGTTAATTCACATGATGGTGAAAACCCTGAACACGTAATTCACATTACGGTGAAAACCCTGAACACAATATTTCTTACGCGAGCTGTTGACTTTACCAATAAAATGACGTCTTCTTCTGAAAATGTAAAAATTTGATACTAATCCTTTGTCTGAGAACGAGTTTTTAAATGTATAGCATTATTATTCATTTAGTATAATTTTTAAGGGTTTTTGTAGTGACACAAAACAATTTATTGCCACTTCTTTGTTATTAACGTCATGAAAAACTCAAGTAAAATTTTTCATTGGAAGAGGCAATTGTGGCTCGCACGTCCTTGGGGATTTGAGCGAAGATCATTATTTGGAAAAATCAAAATAGATGAATGTTTTTCTTTCTTGGTTGGATGCTCACTAGTGTTTTGATGCCTTGCATATCAAATTAGTTTGAGACTTGCTCAGAAGGCTGCTGCAAGCCTGGCATATCACACCCCAGAAAATATGCAAGGTTGAGGTAAGAAAGAAGCAAGAGTTTTGACTAGACAATCACTGTTTGACAGTCCATCAACTTCAGTTTCATTTTCCATACCTACCTAACATTGATTGATAATGAAAAGCATCAGGGTCTGTTTTTCTGTCCCACAACCATGCTTCAGGATTTGGCATTAGATGTCTACACTGCTATGTGTAGGCATGCGTTGCGCATCAGGCTTCAGGCCTTCGGCCTAAAGCCATATACACAACCACTTAACCTATGATGCTTCATGAGCTTGAGAATCTACAGCCCATTGCAATGTGCTTTTGGCTATATGTTTCAACTAAAAACAACTTATTATATACTATTTGGTTGCATTTTATTGAAAGTATCCACGGCTGGCTGACGGCTGGCTGCCCACAGTTTGCCACGGCTGTGGGCGGCTGTGGCTGTGGAGCCACGGCTGCGGGGCGGCTAGGCTGTGGAAAATTGCAGCCGTGCAGAACTCTACATTACATATACATGTATATACATGTATTCATACTGGCCACAAGAGGCCCCTGAGACTGATGTCAGGGAGGTCCACTCCTAATGAATCTAAGGGGGCCCTCTATCCACATTTACACTTTTCTATGGAGGCCCCCGAGACTGATGGTCTGAGAGGCCCTTTTATTTATACTATCCATTGGAGCCCCCTGAGCTTAATGGTCTGAGAGGCTCTTCTATTTATACTAACCAGAGGAGGCCCCTAGGATTGATGGTCTAACAGGCCCTTCTATTTATACTAGCCAGAGGAGGTCCATGAGACTGATGGTCTGAGAGGCCCTTCTATTCAAACTAGGGAGATGAGAGTCCGAAGAGCCATGCGGCGGCAACTGGCCGTGGCCATATTTCGGCTCGGTAGGGCCCCACAGAGCTCATGAGAGCACCTCAAGGGCTCCTAAGTAGACACGCTTATCCCCATAAGGGTGCCACGCCGGCTTCTGAAGGCTCCTTGTTTGCATCTAAGGGCCCTTTCCGGCCTCTAACGGCTCCACCCGCCTGTGATGGCTACACACCAGTGTTTATCAGCGCCACACAGCGGCGCCTTTGAGGGTCATACTAGTGTCTCTTAGGGCCCTATATCGGTGGCTCTGGGGGCCCCACACCGGTGCCTCCGTGGGCCACCACACCTGTGCATCTCAAGGCTCTATAGGTACATCTGAAGGACCCACACCGACACCTCTGAGGGCTCCACACCAGTATCTCGGAGCCTCTGAAGGCCCCACACCGGTGACTCTGAGGACTCACCGGCTCCTGAGAGCACCATGTTGATGTCTAACGACTTCACAAGACCACTGAAGGCACCACACAAGCTCTCACTGAGCTCTAATGTCCATGCACCGGTCTCTGAGGGATTTAAGCCAGCGCATTCATAGCTCCACACCAGCAATTGTAAGGGCTTCACACTGAAGTATCTGAGGGTTCCACACCGGTGTCTCTAAGGGCCACATACCGGCATCTCTGAGGGCCCCATACCGGCGTCTCCGAGGGTCCACATCTGGCGGGCACCCATCAGCGACTGAAGGTCCCACACTGTCGACTCCGAGAGCCCCATCTGCGTCTGGGAGCACCATGCCGTCTCTAAGAACCACAGCGGCTCCTCCGTACGAAAGATGGGCGTCTGCATGCCAAAGGGGAGCGGTTCTGAGACAGTAGGGCACCTATGTGCAATAGAGGGGCGCCTATGAAGCTCATAGGGGCGCCTCAATGCGAGAGAGGGGCGCCTCTGAGGCCTACATACATGGGCGTCCACATGCAATAGAGTTCTGCAGACTGCAATTGATCAATGCCATGGGAGTGCATTCATAAGAAACAGGGGCGCCGGCATGGCAAAGAGAGGCACCTTCAAGTGTCCATAAAAGAGAGACGCCTATGAGAAGCGCACATTGTATGCGACAACGGGACGACTGTGGGACATATAAGGATGTCTCTGATGACTATACATAGGGCGCTTATATGCCAAAGAGGGCGCCTATGAAGCTAATGGGGGCACCTGGGAAACGAGGAAGACATTTGTGTAAGGGTTTTCAGGGGTCATGCGCCGTTTGCGGCAAATAGATTCTAAAAAAAAATCGGAGGGGGATAAGTTTTAAAAATGGTGCGGACTTTCCTTTCCGCACTGTTCGCTTAAGCGGTTACGCCCCTGGGTACATACATCTGCCTGATCTCAGAAGCTAGATTTGGAGGTCATACTTGAAAGCAGCCAGCAGGACGAGGCAAAAGTTGGAGGCCCCTGAAAATAGGAGGCCCCTGGAAAAAGAGGCCCCTTGACAGGGTGGCCCACCCACTTTTCATGACGTTCCTACGCCCGTGGTGAGCACTGTTCAGCCACAGTGCTCATCCCCCTGAGCACTGTGTTCATGTGTCGTCGGAGTGCCAGAGCTGATGAGGCGCTTATAAGCTGGTACGCAGGGCGCACCTTATGGAGAGCCATGCCAGACACCTGCCGAAAAAAAATGATTATCGAGGTGCATGGAGGTCAACTTAAAAGAAAGTTCAGAAAGTTATCGTCTGTCAAAGTTTGTCCAAATGATAAATGGACACCCGTAATGCATACTAGAGATGTCAATCGGATACCAACTTTTTGGTATACCGATACCAACTTGGTATTTGGTATTTCAATCGTAATGTGTTTGGTATTTTGTTGGTATCACAAGCCCTCACTAATGTATAAGAGTCTAATAAATCGGTAAAAAGTTGGTATTTCCCTCAGTTTCCCAAGTTGGTTTGGTTTCGGTATTTTCCCATGGTTTTGGTTGGTATTTGGTCTGGTATCGGTATTTCGATTTTCCGTAATTGACATCACTAATGCACATACTACCCGACCCCTTGGGCAGTATGCATACCGCCCAAAAGTTTGGGCAGTTTGCTTACTGTCCGCTTTCTGACTTAAAGGGACAGTATCATCGAAAAAAAATCAATGTATGGAGCTGATTTTTTTTTTTACTAGCATTTCTTATTTTTCTGAATCAGAAAAACATAGTTTGAGGACCGAACTCGGTGAAAAATATTTTTTCATGAGCGAGTCATTTTCATGAGCGAACCACCACTACAAGCATGGCCGCCACTTTGGAAGCCTGCGAAATTACTACAGAACTGGCGCAGATAATACATTATTGACGCTACGCTTACGCGGCCGCTCTTCTGATTGAGTTGTCGTTAGGGAAAGGCAGCATTAGGTATTGCCCAGAAGATATCACGTGACAATATTCTCGTACTTAAAGGAAATGTGAAGTACTTTTAGCAGATCAGATGACGTCATACATATACGTCATACATGGGAGGGAGATTGTGATTCAAGCTGGAGGAATTCCTTTGTTGAGCCGCTAGAATCCGAAGGAAACAGCGGAAATTGCCTACGACTATTTAATGAATTTAACGGTGATGAATAAGTGCGAAAAACGTTTTGGCTTTACAAAATTTGATGAAATGACCAGGGTAAAAGTTTTATTACTGGCGGTCAATTCAAAACGGCGCAAACATTTAAACAGTGAAGATAGTGAAGCACGATTCAAAGTGTAGTACACCTTTCGTACTTTGAGCGGCGATAGCGGGATAACGGTGTGGAGCTTCGAGGATCGGTCTTCAGTTCCCGGACCAGAAAGGTGGGGCCTATGCAATGTCAAATTTCATCAAAATGGTGATAACTGTCCCTTTAAAGTTGTGTAATCTATGTCCTCATTACGAATATAGCTGATTGGCACGCGGTACGAGGTAAAAGAGCGCTCGCTACCGCATATTTCTGAGACGGAGGACTCGGCCCCGTGAGTTCTGCACATGAAAACTCGGTAAAACAGGATAACTGAGTTAGTCACGACCTGACCGCGCCCCCAACCGGCCACCGTCTGTATATAAAGTCGGACAGAGGAGAGCCAATTGCAGTCAGCATTCGCTACTCCCAACGACCAGCCATGATTAAGGTAAGAGGGAGAGAGTGGTGAAATCTTTCGAAGCAATGCGACTAGAGCATGTGCAAAGATATGAAACACTTCATTAGTTACAGTGCTCGAAGATTAAGTGGTTTAAGTAGTAAAAGTTGCACAAAGAACATCGGTATGCTGATGCGAAGCATAGGCGGCGGAACGGGGGGCACCGGGGCACCGTGTTCCTCTTTGATTTTGGCATTTTAACATTAGCCCTATGGGCGTTGAATGGAAAGAATGGGACCAAAAGTCGGCAGTGCCCCCCCCCCCTTAATTGAAGGTGTTCCGCCGCCACTGGAAGTATTTCATAATTTTTTTAGATACGTGCCAGTAGCTGCGTTTAATTATTGTACATGCAATTAGAGTATCAAATGAAAAAGACGCGAAACTCATGTTTATTGCAACATCCCGTAGGCAATTTAGTGAGTTTTGTTCGTGTGATCACAACGTTCTTCCATGTTTTCAGTTCGCCGTTCTGTCCGTGTTGGTGGCCGCTGCTGCTGCCAGCGGAGGAGGTGCCCAGAGCAGTGTCCACGTGTCAACGTAAGCAAATGTTTGCAGACTGAGGGCATGGAGAGTGAACACTGGACAGCAAAGCTTTATAGCCAGGGGATGCGCACCGGCCTTTTAAAGGGACTATCCCACCTTCTAAAATGTTGTTAAAACCAGTTAAATTGTGCCCGACTTTATAGATTGGATGACCAGGAACACACTCCTGGCATTTATTTTTCATCAAACATTTTAGGCTTCCCATATTCCAAACACAAACTTTCAAATATGTGACGTCACAGCCCAAAATTACCTCCTTCCCCAGGCCACATTACTGTCATAAAGCTGATTCTTTTTACTCTGTAGGCACCACAACAAAGTTCAGACCAAGTTTTAAGCGATTTTTCAACGAACAAACCCATTTAAATCAGAATGACTAAACGAGGTGACGTCACACTAACGGTCGCTCCATGTTGAAGATAGGGCCTTGTACAAGGCCCATTTTCAAATGAAGGGAACGAATTTCTTCAACACCAAGAGGCCGCGGGGGCTGCAACCTAGATAGATAGTGGTTTCTGAACCTCGCCGCAAACTTGGCTATCTCAACTCAAACCCCATGTTAAAGGTGGGATAGTCCCTTAAACATTACGAAAAGTGGCGACACTTGGCTAGCGCTGTCAGCATCGTGAACATTCTAAACAACAAATGCAGTAATCCCACCAGTCAGCGTAAGCCAATATTCGACAGTTATTGACTGATAAGCCAGTGCCACGATTTTGGGGGCCAGAGCGTTAGAGGTAACGTACAGCAGCACGGGATGTTCAGCTTATGACTTGATTTTGACATTATTTAGGCCAGTCTGATAATAACTCAGATCGTCAGATCGTTTATGAAAACTGCAATTCATTCTTGTAGTGGTCGAAGAAGTTTTTTTGCTTTTTTCTAAATTAATTTGTTGAAAAATGAGTTACTATAGTTCGTTTTTTTTTTCAAAAGGACGCTGGCTCCAAGTATGTTTTTCGAACAAGCACGTGTTTTAGCGAGCAAAACGAGCAAAAACTGAACCTGAGAAAATCGAACGTCGACTAATTTTAACATGTGATTTCTTCCCGATAATTTCCATATGGGCGTTTTGGAAGCAGATATGAGAACAGCGGTGACGTCATGCTGTCGAACATGTATTTCAATTTAACCTATGACTATCATGGACGGAACCGCTCACTCGATTATAAGCTCGGCAACAGTGAAAAACTTAAGTTTCACCCAAATTCGTTGACACTTGTCCCACGGCACGGACATTTTGGTGCCTGTTGCCACCAGTGACGTCATCATAGTATATTCATTTTTAAGAAACAATTTCCAGCTACTTGCCGTGCAAAATTTGAAATCGATTATTTTTTCGGTAAGAAATTCTTGGCCAGACACTGAAGCTGCCAAAACTCACGTGAGAGCTTCGATATTGAACTTTGAGCCAGCGTCCTTTTGAAAATAAACGAACTATAGATGCGTACTCTTGCTAAATTTGCCCCGTTACCATGGCAACCTGAGTTAGTTTGGCACCCAGAGTCGCGGTTACTATATTCATTTTTGTCCCCATTTTTTTCGTCGGGAGCGTTCTACCTGGTTTATATAGCCATAGCTTAAGCTAATGCCTTATCCCTTCAATAACTTACCTATTGCAAAAATACTTTGTTAAAATACTCTGTGGGCCGAACAAATAAAAGGAAATAAATTAATAACGCATATTTCTATGTTTATTAATCATAAAAACAACTAAAATGATAGCAACAGGAAAAATAATAATTGGAGCTACATCGACTGCATAATGCATATAGCACTACTGAATACGAAACAGGAAAGAATAATTCAATTTATCTGACCTGCCGTGTTCTTTTCTTTCACAGCTTTTCTCCGTACTCCAGCAATTCATATGGCTCCCACGTAAACCACGGACACTATGTGTAAGTTTCATTAAATTTAATGCAATCTCAAAGTATTTTCCGAGTTTAAGGCATGTATTTCATCACAAACGAAACCTTCATAGTAGTGAAGACAAACGAGAATTTGTAAGGATAATTAAGACATATTAGAGGATCATTAAGTTACACAGTACTTAACCTATAAAACATATACAACAGGTTATTTCCTTAGCCTTGCTCTTGCCTTTAATGCCCGTGTTCTGTCCTTCATTTTCAGTCCTGGAGGCTACGGCGGCCACGGCCGGTACGTCGGCGGCTACGGCCAGATCTACGCCCAGGGACAGGGTATCGGACTCAGCCAGGGCGGTGGATACGGCGGTGGATACGGTGGATACGGACAACAAGGATACGGACACGGCGGACTCAGCGGATACCAGTACGGATACAGCGCCGACGTCGGAAACGGATACGGACAGGGCGCCATCGGAGGTGGTGGAATCTACGGTGGATACGGCGGAATCCGCGGTGGATATAGCGGAATCGGTGGAATCCGCGGTGGATACGGCGGAATCGGTGGAATCCGCGGTGGATATGGTGGAATCCGCGGTGGATACGGCGGAATCGGTGGAATCCGCGGTGGAATCGGTGGAAGCCGCGGCGGATACGGTGGAATCGGTGGAATCCGCCGCTTGGGGCAGATCGGCGGTGGAATCGGTGGAATCTACGGCGGTTATGGACATTTCTAAAAGCTCTCGATCGCCTCTTTGGATGATGTGCCGACAAGACGTGAGATCTGATTTCCGCTGTTCTTTCAGTCATCCCATGAAAGGTCTTATTTGTTCCTAAATGTGAATGTAACAATACTGTCTTTCAGGGGTATGACAATATAATTCCTAAGCTGAATCAGTAATGTGGGTGCCGTAACTTGCAGGGGATTGTTTATGATGGAGTCATCCAGCAAACATTAGGGGCAATTGATTATGTTCGGTTGATCAGTGCGCAACGCTGATGAGCACTTAATGCTAAACATTATTGGTGATAGCATATGACAATTAACAACATCTTCAGCAACATCGCCATCATTATATTTAACAATCATTACAAAAAAAAACTACAATCGCAACCATGACCATCCTGTGTTGTGTTGAGTTCCAGACAATAATCACAGATCATTCCCCAAGCTCGTCTTCGGCCTTGAGCTGCCTGAAGAAATAAAACGGGAGTGGAGGCCGAACACGCCTCACGATCGTAAATAGAGTTGTTCAGCTGGGGGTTCGACTTCGAGGCTGGCAAAACACGAATACAGGCGAGGGTTAAGTTACAAGTCTTTCTTGGTAAATCATATATTAACCCGCGCCCGGCTGGGGGTCATGGATTTCCACGCCCTGCTGGGGGGGGGGGGGTGTTTGAACACCCCCCCCCTTCTAACTCGGCTCCTGGGCCACGTAGCGATACGCGGAAGGCGGCGTTCGAAAGAGCGTCAAAAATAATGAGGAAATCACTTCGGTCAATTTTTTGGTCAGGTCAAAGGTCAGGTCACCAGAGGTCATTGAAGGCAAAATTTCGCCGATTTCCAGGTCGAATGTCGACAATTTCCAAGAAGCCAACGCATAACTCGGGAACCAATAGAGCTACAGCGCCGCGGAAAAGCGCATTCGATAGCCCTATTAGCGCCCTTTCTGAGTAATTTTCTCAGATTTGACCTAACGTCAACGGTTTTGCCTGCAGGGGGCAAAAACTGCAAAAATACCCGATTTTTTTTGAAACAGTTTTTCTGCAATAACTTTTGACCCAAGCCTTGTACGAGCTTACTTTTACCGGCATCGTGTTCCTCTCGTCAAGACGCATCGAATGAACTATAACTTGACCTTGAAAGGTCAACTTGAAAATTTGACCTCAGGTCAAGGTCATGACCTGACCGGAAAGGGTCATGTTGCATATCAGTCGATCCGTATCGTCGAGCTGAACACATCTAAGGCGTTTTCATCGCTCTAGCATGCCTCTATCAAAAGTTATTTGCGAAAAACTGTTAGATACCATTCGTGACCTAAGATGACCTCAGGGCATAAACAGGGGTCACGGACACCATTTTCATGTTCAGTGTGTCTAAACCACTTGTAATTCAGTGTTTGGGAGCGTTTATAATGTCTTTCGTCCAAAAGAAGCGCATTTCAATTTTCTCCCATTGACTTGACTTAATGGGGAGGTCGCAAAATTGACCTGACCTTAGGTCATCGATGTCAAAATTCTGAGATATACATTTTGTACATGCTATTGCTCTTAGCAATCGCTGAAAGTTTCAAAGCGATCGGTCACTCGGTGTAGCTATGACAGACATTGAAACTTTTTATGAGGTGAGGTCACTTCAAGTGACCTGGTGACCTGACCTTGAATGACCTTGGTTTGAAATTTTCACAACATGTGTAGAATTGATGTATGATAAGGTGTATGATAAGGTGGTGGAGATATTCGCGAAAAACCACAAGGGGGGTGTTCAAACACCCCCCCCCCCCCCAGCAGGGCGCGGGTTAATAGATATTGCTACTCACTAGCCGCGATTACATAGGGCTAGTTGCCAGATAGTGGAATTCCGATACCGAGACATTTATTCCACTAACGAGACATTTCAGGCACATTCCGCTAGTTCTGACGACATATCCGACCAGAAGGGGGTGATACTAAATGCTTTCTTCGAAATCTAAGCTGCGTTGCGGCATTGGCGGTTATGTGCGGCGTGTATGTACTATGTCGCATGATTAGTAAGCGGCGACCACTAAATTAGACTCAAACGCTCCGACCGGTTTTCAATGAATAATACTGCATACCAAAAATGCCAACCGCTCTCGTCATAAGATATTTAGCTTTAAATAACTAGGTTAAGAACTTTAAATAACAGCACCCTCGCATTGATCAATTTTACACCCACCCTGAAAATTTCATGACCCTGACCCAAATGACATTTGACCTGTGACCTAGTTTCCGAGACCATGTTTGGCCGGAGTCGTGCTTCGGCGTATGTCGGCTCCACAGGGGAGCACTGCCGCTTCAACCCTATTGGCCGTAGTGTCTAACGGTGGCGGCCATATTGCGCAGACCAGGAACCGGCCGCCGCCTGTGTTGAGGAATAGGGAATTCGGGACCTCGATTTACGTTTGCGGCCTTGCGGCCGCCGCATCCGCTACGTTCAAGTTACGTAGATACGGAACCCGGCATCTTACGCGGAATTGAGTGGGAAACACGATCGAATCTTCAGAATTCCTAAAATTCACTCGCAGGACCATCGTCTTTCTACATTTGCCCCGGCCGAGAGGGTTGATTAAACCCAGCTCGCTAATGCACCGCTAATTCAACGAGAATTTAGCGGTAAAGTTGTCGTATGCGGCAGAGTACAATGCAGAGTGGCTGGTAGGAATCCGCTTCAAAGGTCTCAGGTCAAACGGTGACCTCTGAGGTCAGGTCAAGTGACCTAAGGCACAGGTTCGGTTTTTGGTAAATAACTTCGCCAAAAATGGCCGTCGAGCTGCGATTTTGGCATCACCGTGTTCAACTAGCTCAGGCGCATCGATTGATATACTTTTTGTTCGGTTGAGGTCAATAGGCATTGACCTCGTGACAAAGTCAGGTCAGAGCTCTCAGGTCACGAAGCTGGTCGAGTAAGGTCATGTTGCATATCATTCGATTCGGCAGGTCTTTCCGAGTCCATTTGTGGCTTTCCCGATTCGCTAGCTCAATTTGATCGGTAGTTATTGAAGAAAAGTTTATGACCCTTGTGACGTCACAAATAACGTCACGTAAGGGCTACAATGCAAATACGAAGCATCGGGCCTTGCAATGAGTGCATGAAATCACGATTACATATGCTTGAGATAGTTTCAGATCATTCCCGGCGCTAAAATAGCAATTCCATATTTCCCAATTGACTTTAAGGGTTTGACGTATAAGTTCCTTGTATCTTAGGATTTTTTAAGTTTCCATCTTGTTCTCCACTCAATTCTGCGTAAAATGCCGGGTTCCGTGTCTACATAGCTTGAACGTAACGGATGCAGCGGCCGCAAACGTAAATCGAGGTCCCGAATTCCCTATTTCCCAACACAGGCGGCGGCCGCTTTCTGGTCTGCGCAACATGGCGGCACCGTTGGACACCATCTGGCGGCCGATGCGCCTTCCACATTATAGAGTTCAGTGGTCGGCTCGCATATTAGCCGCGCGTTTGCAAGCTTTTCATGGTTTCAAACGTTAAAACATGTGCGGCTCCCAGTCCCATGCATTAGGGTGGATGCCAATGTCACCTGAAGGTCAGGTCAGGTCCTTGACCTTTGGTGACCTCGGTTCACCGCAGACATGCCACGTGGGCTGGTTGGTATTGGAGCGTGTGATTAAGTAAGGGCGCACATAGGGAGAGTGTGTGGGGGGTCGTGGAAAATATGGATGTATAGACAGATAAATGGAATTTCAAACAAGGTAACGCCCGCCGCCGTGGCTGCTGCCACGGCGGCGGGCGGCGTCACGGTGCTCGGTGCTCACAAAAAAAGGAAGAAGCAAACATATTAAAACTGAGGTAAAAATCATAAGATTATAGCGAAGGGTGCAATTTTAACTGTTTTGGAGCAATTAGCCTTGTCTTGCACCCAAAGACTGGTACCTACGTTTACCTGTTTCCCTGTCTGTTCCTGCTCTTTACGTTAATCTGCCATGCAATCCGCCATTTGGAAACACAAATCCACTGCGATATTACACAAACGATACACGAATGCTGGCACAAGTGCAAAAGACAAAACTAACGATATAATAATTATCTCAAAGCAACAACAAACACTGACAAAGACAGCCATTGAACAATATGCATACGGGGAAGCTGATCGCCAAAAAACGGCCTCCGATCTTTCACTTAGACCGGTGAACTATACGAGAAAGTACACAATATGTAGACTGTGGTTGTGTCTTAGGTCCGAAAGCCGATATTTAAAATCACATGTTTGCTATATTAGGCAAAACAAACCAAAAACATGCACACGTCCGGCCGGCCCCCGCTCTGCCGACTCTCTCCTCTGGTCTCCGGTCAGCTGTCGCTGCCCAAGCGGGAAGCGGGGTGGCGTTGCCCTAGCAACAGTTGCTAGGAGACGGCCGACGGCCTCCTCCCGCGGACGGATGCGGGCGGCGAAACTCAGCCGTCTATATCCGACGCACCATAAAAAACGACACACTGGTACACGAAACAATCCACGAAAGCGAGCGCTCACCTAATCAAACACAGCACATCGCGGAAGCGCATGTCCCTGGTCCCACGCATAAAACACCACATATACTGGTACTCCCGCACTTCACTGTCCAGTGCACCGGGGCAAACATCCGATGCGTCACTGTGTCCGTCTCACTGCGGCCCGCCTGTCCTGGGCGTGCAGATCAGACGGCGGCAGGCGCGCCCGGAACGCCAGTCCCCGGCGAAGAGCGGTGACGGCATGTCGAGCCGTCAGTCCTTGCTGGCGGTCCCACAATCCGCAGGCCAGAATGGCTCGCGGAGCCACAGCTGAACAGTAGCCGGAGCACCGGGATATCCGGAACATCACTACAGGAGTAACTCGCAACGGCGCACACTTGTTCGGGCACAAAAGAACACAACTGTGAACACAGTCACAGCACCCACCACAAAGCGTGTCGACACCCTGCGACAACAGAAACAGAGGTTTGCCTGGTGCAGATGCTCGATCCTTTATCAAATTGTCTCTTCTAACCGGCCTGAGAGGATAGGGCAGTGGTGGCTAACGGACGAAGGATAAGTGCGTTCTCAGAAGTCGCAAATCGGCAAGTCAATGGTGCTTTGCATTATCCCCGTTCACAGGGAACCAAGCGAGGTCG